ATTTGAAAATTAAAGTACTTATGTATGCATGGTAATTCATATGTATGCGCGCATGTGTGTGTGAGAATATATCCATAGTATACATATATATATATATGTACACTGTATGTACTACAGGCCAAAACTGTTACTTTTGGCAGCTGTGCCATTGAACTCAACGACCCATCATAGTCTTAAGTAGATTTCACTGGATTTTTAAGTGCAGATATCTGACAGCTTCATCTGAGGCCTGTTCCATCTGAGACAGACTTTATGTAAATAAGTTTGACTGATTGTTAATTAGGGCTTTAGGTGATCAGTATTCATATGAGTGTGTGTGGCGCCTGCTCTCGCCGGGCGTGTCTGTGCTGCGTGGGGGTTGGGGGAGCGCTGATCTGGCTTCAGTGACCAGTAGGAAGTATGTGCGCCACAAACTTGCCGGAATACTGATGAGGGAGGTGAGAAAGGCACCAGTCCACCAGGGAGAACTAGACGCTTCCTCCATCTCATGCACCACCAATGGACTTTACACAAGGTGCATATTTTAACGCGAGAGCGTTTCGATCAGTTCCTCAGCATACTTACACACATGTAAATCAAACTAGCTTTATAAAATAGAAAACATGCATAGGTCAGATGACCAATAAAGCCCACCTATCCCCCAATTGGCTATGGCAAACATATACCCGCAGTGTTTACGGCCACACGTGGGTTTCAATAGACCAATTTGATGAAAAGCCCCTCATTGTGCTTAGCGGGGTCCTATTCAATCAGCCATGCCTGTTGGAAAACCATTCCTACACACCACAGAGAGGTGTCTCAAAGGGCAAGAAAACACACGCCTTGAAAATGAGAGGAGGAAAATCTGAAATGGCTGAAGGTCTAAAAGGTGGAGATGCAACCGCTCTGCAGGCTGTTGCGGCCTTGAGAGAGTCCTCCTCAAACAAAAAGCAAGGAAGATAAATAAACTTCATCCTTTTTAATGTCTTTGACTGCCCAGAGAATAAAGCAACACTGAAAGCTTTTCCCCCTCAGTTTTATGAAGTCTATAAAACTTGTCATGACAGACAGAAAAGATGTTACTAGCAGAAAGAGGTAGGTATTTGAAAACACACATAACACTGTGTCGCTGGTTAAAAAGCTCTCCTCTGTGATTTGACCTTTGTGTTTATCGTTTAGAAAATGACAGTTGAAAGGATCCTCAAAGTATGTGAGTTTCATCGGGGTCAGTGAGGGAAAACGTGTTTGCCTTGTCTGTGACAAAAACATGCACAATACACGGTGCTGAAGCACTTATGGCTTTTGGTATATACTGCCCCCTAGTGATCTTCATAACAGTTACACTAAATGAGTTTACAAACATACAAGTTACACTTAGATTTTATCCTAGGACAATAAAATTATCAAAAAAAGAAAAAAGAAAAATTCATGTGACAGTGATTAATCAACCACTGGGAATGCTAACAGATTTTCTCCAAGTATAGACCTATTATAGAGTATATTCTTGGGACCAAAAAGCAACCATTTAGCGCCTTGAACACTCTAGCAATGTGCTAACAATCACTAAGGATTTCAGAGTCAGAAGTCAGAAGTAAGAAAGAGCTTTATTACCAAGTATGTTTACACACACTTGGCGGCAGGAGCTTCCAGTGCAGAAGAAAGTATGAACATAGTGCAAACATACATGATAGTGCAGACATACATAGGAATTACACAGTAGAGATGGAGTATAACACTATAAGAAAAACAGACAATTAAATAACGCACTATATACAGAAGTAGAAATATAGAGAAAAAACATGTAATTGTTTAAATGAATGTACAGATGTTATTTACAAGTGTGCATTTTACAAATGTACAATTTTCAGATTCTATTTATAAATATGTCAGTTATGATGGACAATGTACAGTATAGTTATGAATGTTATCAATAAGGATTTCTTACCATTCACAACATTTTAACATCATGGTTGCATAGAAGAAGAGTCGCCATCATATATGATGCTTCATGGAGGATCCATTGGTGAAAAAGTGATGTAATGCAAAATTTCTCCAAATCAGTCCTCATGAAGAAAGAAACTCATCTAGGCTACATCTTAGATGGCCTGAGGGCAAGTACATTTTTTTATTTATTTATTTTTTCCATTTCTGGGAGAACTATTTCTTTAACATCACAGCACCACCCACTCTGACTTTGCTTTTATATTTTTCACTAAATCTGAATGATGAAACGCTTTGCCTGAAGTTTACAAACAAATGTTATTTATTTATGCTCAAAAATACAAACAACAACATGTAGAAAACTGTATCCTGGCAAGAAAAAAAAAGACTTCAATTCGGCAATATAAGCCTTCATTAATATACAAAAATGTGCACATATGCATGTTTTTACCCCAAGTTTATTCAGTGGGGGCAAAGTTTACTCTTGGCACAATAAGGTTCCTGTTGAGTCAATTAAAAGGCTGGAAAAATACTACTTTCTGAAAGGATCTGTGAAAATCAGTCAGGAAAAAAAAAGAAGAAAAAAAAAAAGGAAAATACAGGTAAATCTTTCTGAATGTTTTTCATCATCCAAAATATTCATAATGCCAAAACACAGAATCAAATAATCTTATGATAAGAAATAGCGGTTTTAATATAGTAGTTTAATATAGTGTGTCCTCCTGTTCATTCTGGTGAAGAACATCCTCCACATTTAAGCCAAATGAACACTGCCATATTCAGACTGGCCATCAATTACCTGGAGAAAACAAAAAATAAAACTCAAGACACCATAGTAAGTCCCAGCATTCTGCAAGACTCATACTGGCAGTTATATATTTTCTGGAGCCAGGTTTGAAAGCCAGATCCAGGTCCATTTTTAGCTCACGTCAGTCATTCAGAAAGCCACATGCAGTACATTGTATGGTTGTGCACAGAACATACACTTACTCCACCATCAGTGATGGAAGTTACATGTTCTGTTGAGTTATTATTAGACTGAGTCATCATTTTAAATTTCATAAAGACATACAAAACACTGATACTCATGCCGTGAATGCTGGAATGCAACAAAAACTATAAACATGCAACACACAAAAACATGCTTAAAGGAAGGAAGATGCCCATTAAATAAACAAAGAGACTATTATGAGTGTCAGACATCATTTACATTACAAACTACACATACATTACTCATCCCTGACCCAGACACACCTTGCTCTTGTGACAATGCACTAACCAATACATCTGAAAGGGGCCTTAACATCCTTTTCATCCTGTTACGTTTCCTGGCAGGTGACAAAAGAGAAACTACACTACTGTTCCAAATGCTCACTAGCTGCGTTTATTGGATCAAAAATACAGTAAAAACAGAAATATTGTGAAATACTATATTATTACAACTGAAAATGTATTTTAAAATGTCATTTATTTCTGTGATGGCAAAGTGGAATTTTCAGCATCATTACTCCAGTCTGCAGTGTCACATGATCCTTCAGAAATAATTATAATATGCTGATTTGCTGCTAATGCTTATTATCATCAATGTTGAAAACCGTTAATATTTTGTGAAAAACATGATTTTTTCCCCAGGCTTCTTTGATGAATTAAAAGTTCAGCATTTATTTGAAATGTAAATCTTTTGCAACACTATAAATGTGAATTTACTGTCAGTTTTGCAGTTACTTTAGAATGGTAGTGTATGTTTCAGTCCAAGAAGCTCCATTAAACGTTGGTGTCAACAAGTTGGTTGACAATGCAATGCAAGGACATCAATGTAATTTGGCAATTACTGTCCGTAATTGACAACAAACATAAAATGTTCACCCTCTCATTAATATTAATAACCTTCTATTAATATTTCAGTGATGTCTTTAATCAGTTTACTCACTGTGTGTGTGCACGGGCAGCTTCCGTCTCCTGGAGCAGTTGGGATCCAGCCCTGGTTTGGAGCGCTTAGCCTTCTGAAATACAGCCAAGGCGAAAAGAGACACTGTTGCAGGAGGGTAGGGGTCAAAGCTTGAATGTGATTCAGATAAAAAGGAAGTTCTGTGAGGTTCAGGATCAAAGTACCATTGTCCTCTTTTATGCTAAGAAATAAGTCACCTGGCAGTTCTCTCCCGAGTGGTTCCACTGCTGCCTGTATTAAGTCGGAGTATGATTCAGTGGGCTATATAACACTTTTAATTGTCAGGAAATTACTTGTCTTTAAAAGTTTTGGTTCAATATACTTACCTGTTGATCAAAAATAGCCTTAAACCTATACACTTTTTAAAATTTTTTATTTAGTAACTTTCAGGAGGGTGTACTCATTTTTGCAACACAAAATTTCATCACTTTGATAAGAAAATCTTATTTTGCTGAATCATTTTGGCATTCTTCTTTGGCAATTGATCAAGCAGGCTTGTTGGAACATTACATCTCCAAAGAACCCTAACATGTCTTCTAAGTAAAGAGTAATTGCTGAATTTGTTACGTTTTAGAGGGGGTGTGCTGTGGCTGTATATATGATGACTGAGTGAACAAATCGGAGTCATTTTCAATTTAAAAAGGACAAAATGTGGGTCTCATTTTCTAACTATAAACTCAGGACGTTTCCTCCATTGCTACATCAGAAATGCATAATGCGCAGCTGGAGTCTGTGTGTGTATTGTTAGTGATGTAGAATACCATGGTACATTAAAAACTGGCTGCCTTCAAAAATGGAGTCAGTGGTACCATTTCAAACTTAATCATAAAACAACTAAACATCATTTCTTGGCAGCCTACCTGCAAACAAAATTTTCAGAAAAAACTTTGGGCAAAACAGATTTCATCGCATAAAAATGTAAAATAAACAATCATGATAGACAGATAAGATAGACAAACAGGACACTTTATTTGTCCCATATGGGAAGTGGTGATGTCCAATTCAGCCTGCTTCAATAAATACAAAACGTTTACATTACATTACATACATACATAACAAGAGACAACATATAAACATAACCATACACAAGAACCTACATAATGTTAAGATGGAGAAGTAAACAGTCCCTTACCTGTAGCATGTGGTCACCTCTCCTGTGGATTTTACGCACGGGTATTTCGTCGTTGCGATTTTGTTCTCTGAACACACTTCTCTGTAAGACAAAGGAGCCGTCAGCTGTTTCTTTTTACGTAAACAAATCCGCCTCATGCACAAGAAACAAACTTTCAGTCCTCTGAGCTCGTGTAAAGAGCGAGCTGACAGCACGCGCACTGCACGGACACTTTACCTGTCCACATCCTCCTTCTCCTCTCGGAAAGTCCACGGCGTTCCCGACGAGAACAGTATCACCACCACAGCAAGTCTGAGAGGAGTTCCTCTGCCCGTATAGCACATTTCAGACACTCTGAAATGCTAAAAAAAAAAGATACTTGTCCGTTTAAAGTCAGCGTCTTGGAGTTCAGCGTTTCTTTGAGGAATTGAGAGAGTATTGATTGGTTACCTCCTGCAAAGCTCCACGCGCAGATTCCCAGCGGCCCCTCCTACTCCCGCACTTGATCAACTTCCATAGGTTCAGAAAAGAAAGTTATGAATTTAATATTTAATAAATGCCACAGGTAGCCTAACATTAAAAACATTCCTGTGGCGAAATCCTTATGGTGTGAGATTTGAGATAAATATTATATTATAATAGGCTACATTAAAAAAAGATGCCGTACTGATTTTTTAAACGTATTTTAATATTTTACAAGTTTACATATATAAATGTATGCTAATATGTGTGCTGAAAAAATGGTGTAGAAATAATTTTCACACAGAAATTGCATAAAAATGACAAAGAAACAGCAATTAACACATTGAATTAAAGGTAAAATTTTAAAGAAGAAAAACTGAAATAGTGTTTTCTTGTAAAACATACTCCAGTAGTCCTTGTTTTTTTTACAACTTCGAAATACAATTTTTTTTTATTGTACATGCATATTTATTTATTTATTTTACAAATTGTATTTTAACTACTTAAGGACACAGCTGGAGTCAAATATGTATAAATAATAATAATAATAATAATAATAATAATAAAAAAAAATATATATAATTATATATATATATATTTTTTTTTTCTGCA